TAGAGAATATAGCCAACATAATTTCTGCTTTTTTTTTTTTTTAACTGGAGGTTTTTTTGTTTTGTTTTTTTAAACTCATCTTTATTATTTTTTTTATCCTCAACCGAGGACATTTTTCCATTTTTTGTTCAGATAGAGTGGGAGGGAGAGAGAGAGAGAGAAACATCGATGTGAAAGGGACACATCGAGTGGTTACACCCACACGACTCAACCAGGGCCAGGGACAAACTGCAACCGAGGTACCTGCCCTTAGCAGGAACCGAACCCGGGTCTCTCTGGACCGCAGGCTGACGCTCTAATGACTGACTCAAACCAGCCAAGGCCATCCTTATTGTTGAATGTATTATAGATGTCCCCTCTTTTTTTCCCCATTGACACCTCCTCCCAATTCCGCCCCGCTCCTGCCTTCCCCACACTACTGTGGGTGTCCATTGGTTATGCCTATATGCACAGAAGTTCTTTGGTTTATCTCATCTCGCCCTCTCCCCCTTCCCTGTGAAGATCATCCGTCTAACAACCCATTTGTATTTCTTAATTCCTTCATCTTTTTCACCCATCCCCTCAGCCCCCACCCATCTGGCAAGGAACAAAAAGTTCTCTGTATCTATGAGTCTGTTTCTCTTCCGCTTGCTCATTTTGTTTGTAGATTCAATTGTTGATAGGTATTAGTTGCCATTTTATTGTTCATATTTTTGTTTTTCTTCTCCTTCAAGAAGACGCTTCAACATTTCATATAATACTGGTTTGGTGATAATGAACTCCTTTAGCTTTTTCTTGTCTTGGAAACTCTTGATGTGTCCATCAATTCTAAATGATAGCTTTGCAGGATAGAGTAATCTTGGTTGTAGGTCGCTGCTTTTCATCACGTTAAATGTTTCTTGCCACTCCTTTCTGGCCTGCAAAGTTTCTTTTGAGAAATCAGCTGACAGTCTTATGGGAGCTCCTTTGTAGATAACAAGCTGCTTTTTTTTTTTTTTTGCATTTATCTTCAGATAGAGTGGGAGGGAGAGAGGGGGGAAGACAGAGAGAGAACTATCGATGTGAGAGAGACACATTGACTGGTTGCCACCCACACAACCCCACCCAGGGCCTGGAACAAACTGCAACCAAGGCACATGCCCTTAGCGGAAACCGAACCCAGGACTCTCTGGTCTGTGGGCTGACGCTCCAACTGCTGAGCCAAACTGGCTAGGGCAATCTCTTGCTGCCTTTAAGATTCTCTCTTTGTATTTTACCTTTGGCATTTTGATGATAATGTCTCTTGGTGTGGACCTCTTTGGGTTAATCTTGTTTGGGACTCTCTGTGCTTCCTGGACTTGTATGCCTGTTTCCTTCATCAACTTTTCTGTCATTATTGTTTCAAATAGGTTTTCAATTTCTTGCTCTCTTTCTTCTTTTGGCACCCCTATGATGTGAATGTTGGCATGCTTGAAGTTGTCCCAGAGGCTCCTTACATTATCCTCATTTTTTTGGATTCTTTTTTCTTTTTGCTGTTCTAGTTGGGTGTTTTCTGCTTCCTTATATTCCAAATCAATGGTTTGCTTCTTGGCTTTACCTATGCTACTATTGATACCCTGTAAATAATTCTCTATTTCAGTTAGTGCATTCTTCATTTCTGACTGGTCTTTTTTTTTTTTTTTTTAATCCTCATCCGAGGACATTTTTCCATTTTTTGTACAGACAGAGTGGGAGGGAGAGAGAGGAAGAGAGAGAGAGGGAAACATCGATGTGAAAGGGACACATCGAGTGGCTGCCACCTGCACGACCAACCAGGGCCGGGGACAAACTGCAACCGAGGTACATGCCCTTAGCGGGAACCGAACCCGGGTCTCTCCGGACCGCAGGCGGACGATCTAACCTCTGAGCCAAACCGGCCAGGGCTGACTGGTCTTTTTTAATGCTGGTGATGTTCTCACTAAGTTCCTTGGAGGTCTCCTAAGTTCCTTGAATGTGTCACCAAGTTCCTTGAGCAACCTTATAACCAGTGTTTTGAACTCTGCATCTGAATGATTGCTTATCTCCATTTTGTTTAATTCTTTTTCTGGAGTTTTGTTCTTTTCTTTCATTTGGGACATGTTTCTTTGTCTCCTCATTTTGGTTGCTTCCCTGTGATTGTTTCTATGGATTAGGTAGAGTTGTTATGTCTCCCAGGCTTTGTAGGGTGGCCTATTGTTGTAGGTGTCCTGTAGGATCCAATGGCACAGCCTTCCTGATCACCCCAGCTGGGCCCTCGAGGTGCACCCCTAGTGTGGAATGTACACCCCTCTGTTGTAATTGAGTCTTGATTGCTGTTATCACATCAACGGGAGGGATTTACTCAGGCTGATCAGCTGCAAGGACTGGCTGTGCCCACTGACCACTGACCTCTGACTACCTTGGAGGATCAGCTGTACAGGGGCCCAACACACAGAGCAAGACTTACTTCAGCAGGGCTGCGGTACCCACTGAGTCCACTCCTTGAGTGTGTCACTTGTGGAGGTGGTTGGGTGGTGGTGCTTTGAGGTGGTCTGAAGCTGTCCACCGGGTGTGCTGGCTCTGGGGCCAGGTCAGCCTCTGCCTATGTTCTACCTGTGGCCACCCGGCATAAGCTACAAAGTGATCTGCAGATGGCTGCTTCTTGTGCTGGGCTTGGAAATGCCCGGGAAAAGCCAAGTTGTGAACCAAGGCTGACTGCTTCTAGTGCCAGGCCTGGAGCCACTTAATGAGATGTATGGGGCTCGCTGAGACCAGATGCTGCTTGTTTGAGAGATTTTAGGAAACTCTGAAGCAGGATCCTAGACAGGCCAATCCTATGGTAAAGCCTTCGGAAACAGGTTAGATGGGCCCAAAAGTCGGGTGGTGCCGGGCCTTAGGGAATCACCAGGGTGGGGTCAACAGTGTGAGCCAGGTTGCTGGAGTCCAAGATATGGGGGCTGTCTGCCGCCCCAGGGAAGGGCTCACCAAAGGAACAAAGGCCTCTGCCAGCACATCTGTCCTGGAGAAAGCCGCCTCTCCAGCCCTCTTCCCGAGGCCGAACGGCACAGTTCTTCCCTGTATGTCTCTGGTGCCCCTCGAGCTGCCTCCCCTCCAAGCTCAGAGGGAGAGAGTCCGATAAGTCCATGCTCGGGCCCTTTAAGGAGCTGCCTGGGGCTCCAGCTGCCTCGGCCTCCCTGAGCCTCAGTTCCTGCTGGGTTTTCCAGCCAGAAGTGATGGGGATTCTCTTCCTGGCACTGGACCCTGAGCGGGGCGCCTGGTGTGGAACGGGGCCCTCAGTCCTCAGGGAGGACCCTCCCAGCCGAGGTGTCCTCCTGATTTTTATCCGCCACACGTGGGTGTGGGACCAGCCCGTCCCTCCGCCCTCCTACCAGTCTCGTGTGGCTGCTGCTTTAATTCCGTGGTTGTAGGACTTCCGTTCAGCTTGATGTCAGGCGGTTCTGAAGAATGGTTGTCCTGTAGTTTAGTTGTCACTTTGATGTGGTTGCGGGAGGAGGCGATACCACGTTTACCCACCGCCATCCTGACCGGAAGTGAACCCAGGTTCCAGTCTTACTGGGCAGGTCATTATTTTGGCAACATTTTATTTGATACTTGAAAAAACGTGGATTATCGATTGGTTTCAAACCAAACCCAAGAGCTATTAACTTGTATTCATTATATTACTTATATAATTCTGTGTCCTAATTTATATTTGTCCACTTGATGCATTCACGTTGATAGTATTAAAGTCTGCCCCTACAATGTATCTTTGCTAATGTTTCTTTGAATTCTAACTATTTTACTCGATGTTCTTTTATATAGTGTCACTCAGTGCATACAGTTACTACATTTGCCTTCACAGCCTTTCTTTTATTAACATAAAATAAACTTCGTATTACTGATGTGTGGTTTTATTCCTAAATTCTACAATGCTAGGTATGAACATTACCACTCTTTCTTGTCGTTTGTTTGCTATATCATCATGGGACTTCTACTTTGAATATTTCAGTCATTAAGTGTGTCCTTTATGAGCAACAAAGACTTAAATTTTATTTCATAATTGAACTGCAAATGTTAGTTAATAAAGAAAAGTTTGAATTTTTAGTATTTTTTGTTGTCATTTCTAGGCTTGGTTTCTTTTTTCATTTTATTTACTCCTTTGCTATATAGACTGATTTATTTCTCTCCCTTCCTTCCTTTCTTCCTCCCTCCCTCCCTCCCTCCCTCCCTCCCTCTCTCTCTCTCTCTTTCTCTCCCTTCCTTCCTTCCTTCCTTCCTTCCTTCCTTCCTTCCTTCCTTCCTTCCTTCCTTCCTTTCTTTCTCTCTTTCTCTCTTTCTTTCTTTCTCTCTTCTTGGTGATTTTGAAGATAGACATCCTGTGTGCAATAGTCAGTGGTTACATCAAGGTTTAAAAAAATCTTAACTTTCACCCTGGCCGGTTTGGCTCAGTGGTTAGAGCATCGGCCTGTGGTCCAGAGAGACCCAGGTTCGGTTCCCGCTAAGGGCACATACCTCGGTTGCGGTTTGTCCCTGGCCTGGTTGGTCGTGCGGGTGGCAGCCGCTCGGCGTGTTCCCTTCATGTCGATGTTTCTCTCTCTCTCTCTTCCTCTCTCTCCCTCCCACTCTATCTGAACAAGAAATGGAAAAGTGTCCTCGGGTGAGGATAAAAAAAAATAAAAAAATAAAAAATCTTAACTTTCTCTAATTATCAAAGTAAAAAAGGCAAAACCCGGAACAATAACATTTCATTTCCTTTTAGGGAATATTGACGTGTTCATGTCCTTACTCTCCACCATCCCCACCCCTATAACCCAAGAATATTCTTCTTCTTCGTTAATCTAACTAAGGTATAAAGCCTATTGTTTTTATTTCTTTTGCTGTTTTTTTTTCTTTTAATTTTAATTTTGAACTATATTCATCAGAACTACCTAAGTAATTGGAACATCGGGGAGCGGCTATCTTTCCATTATTTTGCATGAAACATAGTTCCTCTCATCCAAGTTCTTATCTTGTCTATTGTTGAATTCAGCCCCACGTCTCAGGCACCGAGCTGCTGGTGACGAACAAAGGTCATCTTGGGCACTTCAGGTCAGTTCAGACCCTATTTGCTTGACTCACGACCTTTCCCCATTCCATTCTGTTTCCTTCCTTCGAGGCTGGGATTAGGTCCCAGTCCTATCGTCTGATGGGGCAAAGGGACCCCCCACCGGGCTGAAGAAAGGTAGCACACTGCAGATGGCCCTGCTGGGAACGGTCATCGGGAATGTCCCCCCGCTGCCTGTGACACACTCTTCAGATGCTGACATAAGTGGAAGCACGAGGGCAGCCTCTGTGGTGGCGATCGGGTGGCTGCTCCAGCCTCCCTGCAGGAGAGCCTGCTGCCTGCCCGGAGCACTGGTGGCTGACCGCCCCGCTCTGTCCCTCGTCCAACTGATGTTGACACAGGTGCCATGCTCTTCTTGGGCTGCTTCCGGCCGGTGACAGCCTGGCAGAGGTACTAGTCCTGGGTGATTCCTGCTCCCCCTGGGACTGCTCCGAAGGGCCACCTGTGCTTAAGGACTCCCCATTGGTCTGATGCTCTCCGAGCTGCACTGGGGTCTGAAGCTCTCTCTTCCCAGTTCTTCCTCCCTTCTCTCCTTGAACAGGGGTCAGGCCTGCGTTGTGGTCTGAAGGCTCTCCCTGTCTGTTCCTGCTTGCTCTCCCCTTTATCCTTCATGGCTGTTTCCGCTCAGAAACCTTTCACCTATGTAATACTGTCTGAGCGCCTGCTTCTCAGCCTCCTACCCCCTCCCTTACAGTGCCACCAACTGATGGGCATAGACCCCTGGGGTGGCAGGGACAGGAGCTATCAAGGGCTCAGTGTGGGAGGTTCTTGACCCCCGTGACAAGTGACCTAGATTTTGACAGCAGTCTTTGAGCAAAATGACTACATCATCTCTCATTGCAGCCTAGAGCCCTTTTATCTTACTATTCCAGTGCAGTTTCTGATCCTTTTTTTTTTTAGATTTAAATTTTTTTTTTTTAGCAATTTCAGGGAATTTTATTTAACTGTCAATTTGTCACCAACATCTAACATTTATTGTTTTGCTACATTTGGATAAGCACATTAGGGAGAACACATAAATTAAATACTATGAAAGTTTACTTTTAGTGAAACATGATCTTCATAAGATATGGATATGTAAATTAATGGTTTTACTGTATTGTTAGAAAATTATATTAAGAAAGATACAAGTCTGGCCGTTGTGGCTCAGTCGTTGAGTGTCGACTCATGCACCAAGAGGTTGCTGGTTTGATTCCCGGTCAGGGCACGTGCCCAGGTTGTGGGCCCGATCCCCAGTGCGGGGCATGCAGGAGGCGGCCAATCGATGTTCTTCCTCAATGATGTTTCTATCTCTCTCTCCCTCTCCCTTCCTCTCTCTTTGTAAAATCAATAAAGGAAAAACAATTTTTTAAAAAAGAAAGATACAAAAACTCAATAGATATTTATTTACAATTAGTATGTTATGATGGTTTTAAATTTTCATTTATCCAACAGTTTTTTTTGAAAAACTATTTCAAAGAATAGTTTATTGCATACCCTAATAAAACACTTACATATTTACAAATTCAAAATAGATGTTTTATTTTCAAGATCTTTAAAAGACGGTTTCCTTGAACTTTCAGAGGGAATTCAGAGGGTTCGTTTTCCAGACACTCTGCCCGCTCTGCCATTAGCGGGAAGCGTTTCATTTTCAACCCTGTTTCTTTTCGCCAGTCCACAGCGTGCTTTCTCTGGCCTCAAAGATGACCAGCTGAAAAGTTCCCATCTGAGGTCTGTCAGTGATTCAGATGTGACCTTCAGAGCATCCGACGGGAGAACACCGGCAGCCCAACCTCGTCTGTTCCCGCGCGTGCACCTGCTGCGTCCGTTCTCCCACTGCTGCCGGCGCGCAGCCCCACGTGCAGCTCGGGCCTCTGGCCCCGGGGCCAGCGCTAGTGTGGCCTGTCTGCGGGCCTGGCTTTGCCTATGGAGACCGCAGGCCCTTGCCTCATTTCCTCTGGGAATGTCCTTTCTTCCCTATTTCTCCATTTTCTGTCTGGTTTTCTCCGTGGGGTAGCAAGAGGTTACAGACCTTCTACCTTCCCAGCTTCAAGTCCCCCAGAAAGAGCCCCCAACCCCCTTCCTAGAAACCCAAGCAAGGGCTTCATTGCTTTTCATGCCTCTGTGTGAGTCGGGGGGTCAGTCCCTGAATGGACGAACCAGCCACGGCGTTTCTACTGCTACTACTTTCGGCAGAAGGAGTTCTGGTTGAAAAAAAAGAGATGTTCATGCCCAGTTTCATTTTTGTAAAAGAAAAAGGCACGCGCGCACATGCGCGTGCGCGAGTGTGTTTGTGTGTGCGTGTGTGTGTGCGTGTGGGTGTGTGGGTGTGTGAAAAGAGAAAGAGTCTGGAATGATGTCCATGAAACAGTGGTTATAGCTAGGCAGCAGAATTAGAGGGAATTTTTCTTATGTTTTTAAATTGTTATTCAAGGAGCAAGACTTGCTGGGTGATAAGGGGGAAGTGTTTACCATTCTTGACAAAGTCGTTTGACTCCATCACTTCTAGAGAGCAAGAGGCACTTCATCTAATCTGCTGTTGATGTTGCAGGGAAGAACATGAGCTGGCTGAACGGGAGTGACAACTGCTCCTTCAGCGACGTGGATGAGCTGATGAAGACCGTGCAGATGGCCGTGCACATCCCCACCTTCCTGCTGGGCCTGCTCCTCAACCTGCTGGCCATCCGCGGCTTCCGCACCTTCCTGAGGAAGAGGTGGCCGGAGTACGCTGCCACTTCCATCTACATGATCAACCTGGCGGTCTTCGACCTGCTGCTGGTGCTCTCGCTCCCGTTCAAGGTGGCCCTGGTCCAGACGACGCCTTCCCTGCCGTTCCTCTGCACCCTGACGGAGTGCTTCTACTTCGTCAGCATGTACGGCAGCATCTTCACCATCTGCTTCATCAGCCTGGACAGATTCTTGGCCATCCGGTACCCAATCCTGGTCAGCTACTGCCGGTCCCCCAGGAAGATTTTCGGGATCTGCTTCACCATCTGGGTCCTGGTGTGGGCTGGGAGTATCCCCATCTACAACTTCCATGGGAGAGTGGGAGAGTACAGGTGCTTCCACAATATGTCCAACGACACCTGGAGTGCCAAGGTCTTCTTCCCCCTCGAGGTGTTTGGCTTCCTTCTTCCCATGGGCATCATGGGTTTCTGCTCCTACCGGAGCATTCACATTCTGCTCGGCCGCTGGGACAACCACCAGGACTGGGGCCAGCAGAGGGCCTGCGTCTGGACCATCGCATCCAGTCTGGTAGTCTTCGTGGTCTCCTTTCTCCCAGTCCACCTGGGTTTCTTCTTGCAGTTCCTGGTGAGGAACGACTTCATTGTGGAGTGTGGAGCTAAGCAGAACATCAGCTTGTTCTTGCAGTTGTCCCTGTGTTTCTCCAACATCAACTGCTGCCTGGATGTTTTCTGCTACTACTTTGTCATCAAAGAGTTCCGCACGGGCATCGTGGCCCGCCAGCATTCTGGAGACCAGCTGACTCCCCAGGGCACCATGACCATCAGGGGCTAAGGGAAGAAAGCCCTGCTCAGAGGAAGGAAACCCCAGCCCCGAATTCCAGTAGCAGACACCCTGTCCCAGGATTTTGTGGTAGTGGGGTGATATGTGGTGCGTTGACTAGTGTGCTTTTTCTTTAGAGGCTCATTGAACACTGTGTCTGCTCATTATGCCCCAGTGACCTTCTTCCACACTCGGACAGCGCAACATAAATCACCAGTGTTTGGGGATTTCTGACGAACCTAAGAACCAGGTGAATTCTTGATTCTTATGTCCAAAACACATGAGACAGAAGAACTGAGTAAAAAAATGAGACCATCTGGACAAGGCTGGTTCCCAACTCTCTCCTATCTTCTGTTGCATTGGAAGATTCTGGAAAGAGAGAGAGAGAGGAGTTAGGAGAGAGAATCAAGAAGATGGGTCAGGGTGCAGGTGTCCTGGCCGAGATGCAGTGGGAGGGATGGATCAAGCTCCTTTTTAGTTTGGGGAGCCCGGGATGAAGCAGACATGTACTTTCCGGTCCCTTCCGAGGCTCTGATGGCCAACAACCTCACAGAGATGACAGCAAGTGGGGTGATCAGGGCACAGCAAGTACACGCAAAGCCCCAAGTTTCTCGTGGGCTTTTGAAAGGCCTGGGAAGCCCACGAGAAGGTTGCAGAAGAGTGAAGGGGGCTGGCGTGGGTCGGGCTGTGATGAAGCTGTGGATACGTTATGGAAGCAGCGGGCACCGAGTGCACAGCTGTTGGTGAGGCCTGAGAACCATGAGTGTACAGGATACACGTGGGGAAGGAAGGAGCCAGGAACATGGGTGTGTCTTCCCACCTGAGTCCTGGCTGGGCAGCTGGCCACGGAGCTGTCCTCTCCAGGGCTGGGAGAGAGAAAATGAGTCATCCGGGGACGGAGGAACCATCTTGAGGGCAAAGGCTCTTGGCAGTTTCTGGTGGGAAACTGCAAACCCCTGAGTCACTGCTTGGCTCGTCCTGTAATGACCTGGAGAAGGGGCAGCAGTGGCTGCCGAAAGCCTTGGGTGACTCAGCTCTCCAGGGAGCCACATGATCAGGAGGGGACATTAGACTGTGGGCTGGTTTTGCAAGATAAAGTGAGTGGGATGAGAAGTAACAGATGAGACAAGAAGATGGTTTTCTGGAAGAAACCACCTTCTACCTGTGGGAGCAGAGGCTTCCGACGTCGAGTGCTGGATGGGAGGGAGGGGCGGTTGCGGGGGAGGAGGAGGGCGGTTTAGATAAAACCCTAGTGGGAGGAGGAGGTGAGCTCGGGCAGTTGCCCACAGATTGATGACTGGAGTTCTGCGAGGAGGTGGGGACGAGCAGGAAGGATGGAGGGCCGGGCTGCTTCCTGCCTGAGAATCCCCACCTTGGCCGAGCCGTCAGCGGGCAGGGGCCCTTCCCCTGCCTCCCTGCAGCCGCCTCCGTGGTGAGGTGGCACTCGGTGGGGCGGCAGGGAAGAGCGAGGAAGAAAATGGGTCTGGAGAACTGATCCTGCCCAGGGCCAGAGGCTCCTGCCCGTCACACTGGAACCCGCAGCTAGGGCCAGGGCTCTGCAGACCCAGGCGCGAGTCTCCCAGCTTCCCCAAGCCCCGGACACTCCTCCCCTGTCGCAGGCTGCCCTGTCCCATGCACCCTGGACAGAGACACACCTGTGCTGCTCTTCCAAAACCAGGCCGTTGTGTGCAGCAGGACATCTGAGGCTGCACTGAGGTCGAGCACAGGGCTGGGCGGAATTAGGGACCGCTTCTCCTCCAATCTCTCTCTGTGTATTGGGAACTGGGAGCGTACCTGGTGGAGGTGGTGCCACCGTTCATGCTGCGATTGTATCTACCAGTGTACTGAGGGCCGGACAGTCTAAGGTGACAGAGAGGGTGGAGGGGAGTCTCGACTCAGAGCTGTGTAACTATAAGGTGCAGGTCCTTGGACGGGTATAGCAGTCTTGGGTTGATGTGACCACTGTGGACTGGTGGATGAACCTTGGGGACCCCTTGACCGATCTCAGTACACTGAGGGGAGGGGAGGGCCTTCTCTCCCTGTGGGGACTGACCAGGGTCCTTGGGGGTGCGCACAGGCCCAGCACTGCAGGCCGTTCTGCAGGAGGGTCCACTCACTGGGCTCACGCCCAGCCCTTGGTCAGCACTACTTGGTCCCAGTAGGCACAGAAGGGGCAGAGGGTCAGGATCAGGGTCCAGATGCATCCGAGGGCCCAGTCCTGCAGCAAGTGGCAGCCAGTGATGGGAAACCTTGAACTTAGTTCTGGAAAAGTCTGAAATGCTACTAAAGCTAGTGGCACTTAGAGATGTTTGGCCATAGCCCTGGCCGGTTTGGCTCAGCGGTTAGAGCGTCTGCCTGCGGTCCGGAGATGTTTGGCCATAAATGTGACCTTATTTGTACTCCTAGAAAACCTGAGACATATTTGTTACTTGTATATGTGTGAAACTAGCACAATGAATTAGAAAATATAATTTAATTAATCTGATTTGCCAAATAAATAGATTCCTGTGATGCTGTGTGCCCTGGTCTTGGGCTGTACTTCCTGGTTCCAGGGAAGAGCTGGCTCTTGATTGCCCTTGCCAGGTGACCCAACAGTCACAGTCCAAGGACCAAGAAGGGACCAGATCAGAGTGGCCACCTGGACACCAAGTGTGAGGAGAACACAGGGAGTCACCCTCAGACCTGACCCAGGGGCACAGCTAGGGCCTGTCCCAAGTGGCCACGAGCCAGACCCCGCAGGGTCTAATTGCAGCTCCCACATCCACTTGGGCACTTGGCTCTCGGTGGTAGCAACTGGGCCACACAGAGCCCACCAGCCTCGTGCTCCCTCCAGTGCCCGGTCCACCCCTGTCCTGCCGTTGGTCCCCCACCACCGGGCACTGGCACTGCTCCCAGAGGCCCTGGCTTCTCTGCCTACACCGTGGGGCCCAGCACAGACCTGCCGACCTGGTGGGGTGAAGGCACGGCCAGTTCTGCTGAAGGTGACTCCCTTCTCTGACCACCTACTGATCGGGTCCGACTCTCCAGGTTAGATCTGGATTTTCCTTCGTGGCTCCTCACGTGTGAGTCCTGCTAACCTGTCAGACCTCCTGGAGAATGTGAACTGCTGGACAGTTGCTGTGGATTGATTGTGTCCCCCACAAATCCATACATTGAAGCCCTACCCCCAATATGATGGTATTTGGAGGTGGGGCCTCTGGGAGACACTTCGGTTTCGATGAGGTATAAGCCCTCATGATGTGCCATTATAAGAAGAAACACCAGCCCTGGCCATTGGCTCCGCGGTCAGAGCGTCACCCTGTGATCAGAGAGTCCCAGGTTCGGTTCCGCTAAGGGCACGAACCTCAATTGCAGTTTGTCCCCAGTCCCTGTTGGGGTTGTGTGGGTGGCGACCAATTGATGTGTCTCTCTCACATCGATGTGTCTCTCTCTCTCTTCCTCCCTCTCTCCTTCCTGCTCTATGCAAAAATGTCCTCGGGTGAGGATTAAAAAAGAAGAAGAAGAAGAAGAAACACCAGAGCACTTCCTTCCTCTCTGTCCCTCCACCTGCACCCACTGAGGAAAGCCATGTGAGGACACGGCAAACGGGGTGTCCGCAACCCAGGCAGTCCGCCCACAGTTGTCATTAACCCTGCTGGCGCCTGGATCCGGGACATCCAGGCTCTAGAACCATGAGAAATACATTCCTGTTGTTAAAGCCACCTAGTCTGTGCTATTTTGCTATGGCAGCCGGAGAAGGCCAACACGACAGTCATCCTCTGCTACCCCAGGAGCCACCTCCCGTCTGGGCTATGTCCCCTCAGGGACAAGGACTGAGCCTCCCTTGGCTGTTGGCCCCCAGGGAACATTTGACGTTGAGAACGCTAGTCTACAAGCGGCGCTGTCAACTCTGTTTCTCTGGGTCCCTCTCTGGGGACCCCATGAAGCTGAAAGTCATTATATTAATGCTGCAACAGGATACATGGCATTTGGAGCAGTAAAATACAGCCTTGTAGCAATTGCAGAGAGGTTTGAAATGGCTGACACTTGGCAGGCGACTGTAGAGACTAACAGAGGTCGAAAGGATTCTGTTAGTAACTCAGTGAGGACAGAAACTAAGAAGAGCAACCGTGTGGGCGTAAGGACAGCCTGGTGTGCAGAACAGTCACGCTATGGATGGAGGTGTCCCCACATAGGAAGTGCGTGGATGTGGTGGAGACGCCCACGCGGCACCACCCTCTGCCTGTCCTAGAGAATAGGCTGAGCTGCGGACAGCCACCTGCCTGGGCCATGGAGGGGCAGCTGAAGCCACTGTGAGAACCCATTGCTGAGGGGGCAGGGGACACAAAGACCCACAGAAGTGAAGCTTTTTAGGGGTGACACCCCCTGAAACTGCCATCTTTCCACCTCTTGCCTCTTGCCACCCAGAGCTGCTCCTCTGGTGAGCCAGACACAGAGCTGTGAATGGGCTTGGGGGGGGGGGCAGGTGAAGGTGGACTGGAGGAGCATGAAGTGGAAAAGCCAGAGACGTCCCTCCTCCCCAGTTCAGGCCCGAGCACTCCCCCACCAAGAGCCTGTGAGATGCATCCCCCTCACAAAGCCACTGCAGGGGGCCCATGGCGCTTGAACCATGAGCCTGACCTCAACTTGGCCCTCCCTCTTTGAAGTCTCAGAGCCAAGACCCGAAGCACTGTTGCTGCAGACCTGACGTTCTGGGTTCTGCTGGGTGGAGGGGCCCTGAGTTCACCCTGAGGTCTCAGGCAGCCTTTGCTCTGGGAGCTGTCGCTCCAGCACCTGTAACCCAGATGCTGTCGGTGAGGGAGGCTGCGAGACCTGCCCCGGCTCCCCAGGGCGCCCACAGTCATGCACAAGGCGCTGTAGGCGGCTTTGTAAGATCCTCTGCAAAGTGTGTTCCCTGGGGCCCTATTTCCAAATGCAGTCGCACTGGGGGTTAGGGCTCGCCCGTGAATTTTGGAGGCCACAGTTCAGCCCATTGCTGTACTCTGTGACCTGGCCTTGGAAAAGTATTGTACTTCTTTCGTTTCTTCATATCGAATGTAACCTGTTCTGAGCTCATAGGCTTTTGGCTTTACTGTAGGATTGTCCAGGGGGCCTCCTTCTCCTCCCAGGACCCTGCACAAGTCCTACGGACAGTGTTCCTTGATGGTCACACTATTTTTTTTTTTATCCTCACCTGAGGATATTTTTCCTTTTTTGTTCAGGTAGAGTGGGAGGGAGAAACAGGAACAGAGAGAGAGAGAGAGAGAAACACCGATGTGAAAGGGACACATCGAGTGGCTGCCACCCGCACGACCAACCAGGGCCCCGCACAACCAACCAGGGCGGGGGACAAACTGCAACCGAGGTACGCGCCCTTAGCGGGAACCGAACCCGGGCCTCTCAGGACCGCAGGTCGACGCTCTAACCGCTGAGCAAACTGGCCGATGGTCACACTATTTACCACACTATTTGCA